AGGTAACTATGCCCACAAAAATGTTGGCAACAGATAATCCAACTACACCAGAAACCAAGGGTGAAGCAGAACTAATATATTCACAATACCACTGCCAACAACAAACCTAAATCAAACAAGCATCACCAATCAATGGTCCTTACTCACCCTCAACATTAATGGTCTTAACTCACCTATAAAAAGACACAAGCTAACAGAATGGATAGGATGACAGAATCCATCCTTCTGCTGCATACAAGAAACACATCTAAGCTTCAAAGATAGACATTACCTCAGGGTAAAGGGTTGGGAAAAGATCTTCCAATCAAATGGACCCAAGGAGCAAGTAGGTGTGGCTATCCACATATCTAACAAGTTAGACTTCAAACCAAAATTAATCAAAAAAGATGAAGATAGTCATTTTGTATTAATTGCAGGAGAAATACATCAACATGAAGTCTCAATTCTGAACATCTATGCCCCAAATACAAAGGCACCCACATTCGTAAAAGAAATGCTACTACAACTCAACGTCACCTCAAACCTCACACACTTATAGTGGAAGACTTCAACACACCACTCTCACCACTAGACAGGACCAACAATCAAAACCTCAACAAAGAAACAAAAGAACTAACAGAAATTATGTCTCAACTGGGGTTAACAGACATCTATAGAACAATCCATCCAAATACAAAAGAACATATGTTCTTCTCTGCTCCACATGGAACCTTCTCTAAAATCGACCACATACTCAACAGATACAAGAGAATTAGAATAGCCCCCTGTGTGTTATCAGACTACCATGATTTAAAATTGGAATGCAACAACAGAAATTGCAGAAACCCTACAAAAGCATGGAAACTGAACAATGTGCAATGGTACCACACCTGGATCAAAGAAGAAAGAAAGAAATTAATGACTTTCTAATATTCAATGAGAATGAGGACACAATATACCCAAACTTATGGGACACCTTGAAAGTGGTGTTATGAGGGAAATTCATTGCACTAAGTGCCCATATGAAGAAAACAGAGGATAGTCACATTAGAGAATTAACAGCACAACTGAAAGCCTTAGAACAGAGAGAAGAGAACTCACCCTGTAGGAGTAGACACCAGGATATAATCAACTTGAGGGCTGAAATCAACAAAATAGAAACAAGGAAAACAATACAAAAAATCAATGCAACAAAGAGTTGGTTTTTTGATAAAATTAACAAGATAGACAAACCTTTATCCAAACTAACGAAAAAGCAGAGAGAGAACATGCAAATTAACAAAATCAGAAACAAAAGGGGGCACATAACAATGGACACAGTGGACACAGAGGAAATCCAGACAATTTTCAGGTCATACTTTGAAAACCTGTATTCCACAAATTTGAAAATGCATAGGAAATGGACAAATTTCTGGATAACTACAACTTACCAAAATTAAATCAAGAACAGACAAACAACTTAAAGAGACCTATAACCCGCAATGAAATAGAAGCAGTCATCGAAAGCCTTCCAACCAAAAACAGCCCAGGGACAGATTGCTTCAGTGCAGAATTCGACCAGAAATTCAAGGAAAAACTAATACCAATACTCCTCAAATTGTTCCACACAATAGAAACAGAAGGTTCATTGCCAAACTCTTTCTACGAGGCCAAAATAACCTTGGTACCCAAGCCTCACAAAGACACAACTAAGAAAGAAAACTACAGACCAATATCCCTGATGAACATCGATGCAAAAATACTCAATAAAATACTGGCAAACTGAATCCAAGAATACGTCAGAGAAGTCATCCACCATGACCAAGTAGCCTTGGATTGCAGGGATGGTTTAACATGAAAATCTATCAAGGTGATCCACCATATAAACAAACAGAAAAAGAAAAACCATATAATCATCTCTCTAGATGCTGAAAAAGCCTTTGACAAAATTCAACACCCTGTCACGATAAAGGTCTTGGAGAGATCAGGGATAACAAGAACATACCTAAACATAATAAGAGCAATATACAGTAAACCAACAGCCAACATCAAACTGAATGGAGAGAAGCTTAAGGCGATTCTGCTAAAATCAGGAACAAGACAAGGCTGTCCTCTCTCTGCATACCTCTTCAATATTGTACTTGATGTTCTAGCTAAAGTTATAAGACAACAAAAGGAAATCAAGGGGATCCAAATTGTAAAGGAAAAAGTCAAACTGTCTCTATTTGCAGACGATATGATAGTTTACATAAGCAACCGAATAAACACTACCATGGAACTCCTACAGCTGATAAACACCTTCAGCAAACTAGCAGGATACAAGATAAACTCAAAAAAATCAGTAGCCCTACTATATTCAGACAACAAAGAGGCTGAGAAAGAAATCAGAGAAATATCACCCTTTACACTAACCACAAAAAACATAAGGTATCTTGGGGTAATACTTACCAAACAAGAGAAAGACCTATATAATAAGAACTTTGTGGCTTTAAAGAAAGAAATTAAAAAAGATACCACAAAATGGAAAGATCTCCCATGTTCATGGACAGGTAGGATAAATACATTTTAAAAAAATGGCAATCTTGCCAAAAGCAATGTACAGATTCAATGCAATCCCCATTAAAATCCCACCACAATTCTTCACTGACTTGAAAGGATAATAATCAACTTTATATGGAAAAACAAAAGATCCAGGATAGACAAAACAACCCTATACCATAAAAGAACTTCAGGAGGCATCACCATTCCTGACTTTAAGCTCTACTACAGAGCTAAAGTTATGAAAATAGCCTGGTATTGGCACAAAAATAGACAGGTAGACCAATGGAATCAAATCGAAAATCCTGATATAATCCCACACACCTATGAACACCTGATTTTCAACAAAACAGCTAAAAGAATACAATGGGGGAAGGAAGGCATCTTCAACAAATGTTGCTGGCACAATTGGAGGATGGTGTGTAGAAGACTGCAGATAGACCTATGTCTGTCGCCATGCACAAAACTCAAGTCCAAATGGATCAAAGACCTCCACATCAATCCAGCTACACTGAACCTCTTAGAAGAGAAAGTAGGAGGTACCCTTAGTATAGGGTATAGGAGACCACTTCCTGAACATAACTCCAGGAGCACAGACACTGAGATCAACAATTAATAAATGGGACCTCTTCAAACTTAGAAGCTTCTGTAAGGCAAAGGACACAGTGGACAAGACCAAACGGCAGCCCACAGACTGGGAAAAGATTTTCACCAATCCTACATCTGACAAAGGGCTGATCTCCAAAATATACAAAGAACTCAAGAAACTAGACAACAAAACACCCAATAACCCTATTAAAAATAGGATAAAGAACTGAAGAAAGGATTCTCTATAGGGGAAATCAAAATGGCTGAAGGACACTTAAGAAAGTGCTCCACATCCTTAGCAATCAGGGAAATGCAAATCAAAACAACTTTGAGATAACATCTTACTCCTGCCAGAATTGCTAAAACACCAATGACAACTTATGCTGGAGAGGATGTGGATAAAGGGGAACACTCCTCCACTGCTGGTAGGAGTGCAAACTCGTACAGCCATTTTGGAGATCAGTATGGCAGTTCCTCCGGAAAATGGGAATTAGTTTACCACAGGACCCGGCAATCCCCCTCTTAGGCATATACCCAAATGATTCACATCCATGCAACAAAGACATCTGTTCAACTATGTTCATAGCAGCATTATTTGTTATAGCAAGAACCTGGAAGCAACCTAGATGCCTCTCAACTGAAGAATGAATAAAGAAGATGTGGCACATCTACACAATGGAATACTACTCTGTGGGGAAAAATGGAATCTTGAAATTCGCAGGCAAGTGGATAGTTACCTCTGAATGAGGTAATCCAGTCAGAAAAAGAGGAATATGGTATATACTTGCCCACATATGGATTTTAGACCTAGGGCAAAGGATCACCAGCCTCCACCACCAGAGAAACTAGGATACAAGTAGGAGTCTAAGAGATTCATATAAGGTCCCTCACAGAAGGGGAAAGGACAAGATCTCCTGAGCATATGGGGTGGCGGGGCAGTGCATAGAGAGAGAACTAGGAGAAATAGAAGGCAAGGAGAGGAAAGCACGTGGGACTAGGAAGATTGAGTCAGGAGAGAAGTAGATGAGAGAAAAGAGAAAATGACACAGAGACACACACAGAGAGAGAGAGACAGAGAGACCATACAAGAGGGAGCCATTATAGGGTTGAAAAAAAACTGAACCTAGAGAAATATCCAGAGACCTACAAGACTGACCCCAACTGCCAATTTGAGCAACAGTGGAAAGGCTACCATAAATGCTCTTCCCTGATAATGAGATAGACAACTAACTTATCCACCATCATGGAGCCCTCATTCAGTAGGAGATTGGAAACAGAAGCAAACACCCACAACTAAACACTGAGCCGAACTGGAATCCAGATGCAGAGAGGGAAGACAAGACCAGGCTGCAGAAACAGATAGAGATAGCTGACCTGAACAAGGAGGAGTTAATGGGCCACAGACCGATAGCTGTGAATCCAGCATGGGAGTGACTCAGAACCCCTGAACATGGGCCTCAGCTAGAAGGCCTGGGCAGTCTAAGAGACCACAGACAGTGGAACCAAGATATATTCCTTCTGCACAAAAGGACTTTGGGGGCACATCCCCCCATGGAGGGATACTCCCTTAACCTAGAGACAGGAGAGAAGGCCTAGTCACTACTTCAAATGACTTGACAGATTTAGATGACCCCTCCTGTAGGACATCACCCTACATGTGGAATGATGGGGTAATGGGAGGGGAGGGTGGTTGGAAGGCTTGAGAGGATGGGAGAGAGGAAAGAGAGAAGGAGGGAGAGGGAACTGGGAATCAATGTGTAAAATAAAATTTAAATAAATGAATAAATGTATTGCAATAACACATTACATCATTAGGTAAAAGGAATAGTAGCATAATCACAGAATCAAAACCCAAATGATAATCTTGTGCCAGACAATTAACGTGCCGCTGGACTGACTTCCAGAACGTTATTTAATTAAGAAGGAAATGAATGAAGAACATTTCTCCTAGAATGTGTTTCGTCCCTGATGTGATAAAGCAAGTTTCTCTCTGGTCTTGACAAAATAATGTAGCACTTGGGAACAAAAATGCATCCAAGAAGCCCTGCACTGGAAGCCAAGATAGAGAAGACTTCCATAGCTAACATGGACTTGCCCTTGGTGCTGTGGTAGACAGGGAGGAAGGTTATCCAGACATTGAAAAACACGAGCATGCTGAATGACAGGAACTTGGCCTCATTGAATGTGTCAGGCAGGTTCCTGGACAGGTAAGCCATGGTGTAGCTACCAAGTGCCAGGGAGCAGAGGTATCCCAGGACAGAGTGGAAGGCAATAGAGGAGCCCTTGTTGCATATAATAATTATGTGGTCATGTTCAGTGTGAGCATCTGAGTCAACAAAAGGAGGAGAGGCGCTCAGCCAAATTCCACAGAGCACAAGTTGGATAAGGGTGCAGACTGGAATGATGTAGTTAGGAGCCCTTGATATCATTATCCTCCTCACCATTTTCCCTGGAACTGTGATCTTGAAAGCCAGAACCACAGTTAGAGTTTTGGCCAAGACTGTGGAGAGAGCCACTGTGAACAGAACGGCAAATGTGCTCTGCTGCAGGACACAGGTGGCTGTGTTGGGATGGCCAATGAAGAGCAAGGGACAGAGAAAACAGAAGGTCAGAGTGATGAGCAGGATATAAGTGAGAGACCGATTGTTGGCCTTGACGATGGGAGTGTGGTGGTACTTCACAAAGACACCAAGAACACTAACTGTTAGTGCAGAGAAGCCCAGGGCCAAGGAGGTGAGTGCCATCCCCAAAGGGTCTTCATAGGACAGAAAGGTCACTGCTTTCTGGAGACAGTGGTTCTTGTGTGCATTTGCATAATGACTTTCTGGACACCTCACACAATGATCCACATCTGGACAGAAGTGAAAGTTATCATGAGTCAATGCTCAGGTTTCCTTTTTACACTAAACTGCCTCTCAGCTATTCCAAATGTTATCTAATGCAACTTTCTTTGTTGTTTCATACACTAATAATTAGTCAGCCCTCCACAGCTCACCATTCCTAACTCTCTATCATTAATTATTACAGCTAGATACACCCCATCTTAGTTATTGGTATATATGCTGAGCAAGTCTATTCTTTTCCTGATCCAGTCACACATGATCTTGGACTGAATGGTCAGTGACATGTGGGCTTTCTTTCATGGCTGTGAATTACGCTCAGTACTGCTCTTTTTTTTTTTTTTTTTTTTTTTTTTTTTTCTCTTTCAAGGCCTTCATGTCAGCTTCAGTTTTGGAAGTGGATGGACATTGCTCATTTGTTTCATTTGCCATCTTGGCAAAAAGCAAAATTAAACTTCTGAGTGAAGGCAGGAGAAGCATTTTCTTTCCTGTTCTGTGGTGGAACTTGTCCATCTGATTACCTGCTACAGAACACTATAAAAAGGTGAGAACTTTCTCAATGAGACTGCCATTTACCTGTTTCATTGGAGATTTCATTGGCTGGACAAGTTATACAGTCAAAGCAACAGTCAGGCTTCCCATCCTGGGGGGACTTTCTGAATCCAGGACCACAGCTCTCACTGCACACAGAGCGAGGAATCTAAGAATTAAGTATATGTTAAGAAATGCTCAGAATTCTATGGATTAAATCATGCAATAAAACTATTCAAAATAGAACTACTGAGTGACAAATTTTATATACATGAATGCAGATGGTGTGTGTGTGCGCTACTCATCAATAGGTTCATGTGTTAAAAGACTTGCCCCAAAGACAATGATTCTACTGCAGAATTGTGGAAATCGTAGGATCAACTTAGCTCATTTAGAACATGTCTAGAAGGGAATGTTGTGATCCCAGACAGATGTTATCTGTGTAGTTCCCTTCTACTTAGGTGAACAGCTGTTTTTCAATATTTGATGTTTAATCTCCATAGTCACCAAGACAGAATTTAGAAGTAACACAGAAACAAATCCTTGGGAGTTTCTGTGAGGCGTTTTCTGCATTAGGAAACTTGATATGGGAAGACACTCTAGAAGCATGTGGCATCCTTTCAAAGGATGTTCTCCTATACTTAATGAAAAAGAAGCTGACAGGGAAGAGTATGGGGAAGGCCAGAGACATTAAGGTATGTACCATTCTTCTGGAGCACCAGAATTTGTTTCCTAGTATCCAATCCAGTGGGTCACACAATACAAACTCTAGGGGATCCAACATTCTCTTCTAAACTCCATAAGCACCTGCACTCATGAGACACATCTCAACAGTAACATGTGCATTACTTTAAATGACATAAAAGAGATGTGAGCAGTGGCATTCATTTTTCCAAGCTTCCTGAATGTGGAAGTGTAGGATCCACTCGCTCTCTCTGGCTTCTGTAGGCATGTATTTGTCCACCATGATAACTACAACTCAAACTGAGAGAAAAATTTAAAACTATCTCCCTTAAGTTGCTTATAAACTCTTTAAAGGCTTGAAAGCAAAAGGCCAAATAACCATGCATGATATTTCTTAAACTGTGTCAAATTAATCCTATTTTTGGAGTCTTCCATGCAAAATTCAATTCTTAATTAAAAGACATTGTATTTATGACATGAAGTAAGTGTCCATGAAAAAATATATTTGAAAATAGTCACATTGATAAGAAAGACACAAATTAAAATTCCTAATTTTGGCAATTCTTTTGTATATACACATAGATCCTGAGAGCAATCAAGGGTCATTGCATCCATAAACATATTTGTATCATTGATGCAGAGCTCAAAAGATTGAGATAAGATCCAACCCACCTCTGTAAGTCCTGTTGGCCATTTTATATGATGAGACAAAATTAGTTGTTGACCCTGTGGAGACTTTGGATAAAATGTTCCAACTTTCACAGTATGTCCTGGACCTCCTGGAGAATTCCAGAAGTTAAGAATATCATACTCTGCATCTACTTTCCTTTTCAAATCCAAAACCACATTGCCTCCAGCATAGTTTTTGACATGAATATTCTTTAGGAAAGGATGAAGCTAAAAAAAAAATGCAAAGATGCAGGATCCTATGAAGAACCAGATCTAGAGACATCTAATAGAAGCAGAATATTTAAAGTTCCACATTGTCTTAAAACTCATCTTAAACCCACCTGTTAATGACATCAAACCAAAAGGAGTCTAGAAGGATGGAACTATCATTACATTCCTAGAATGTCAGTCAATTTTAATAGAAAACATTGACAAAAAAAAAAAACACTGAAAATGAAGCAATAAATGTCGACTTAGTCAAATCTCCAATTCCTTGAAGTGCTCGGTATCTACACACATTGATTTTAGGACTATATTCAGAGTTTCTGTGTGCTAAACCTGAGTGGCATGGCCCAGAGGATAATTAAATCATTACTTAGGTAACAACCACTGTAGTCATGTGTTCCAGAATTTTAGCATATGAGAATTTAGTCCTACTGTATCTGCTGTGAGAAATATTGGGGGGATCTGGAATTTTCATACCATGAGAAGATTATGAAATTATTTGTAAAATGAACTAGGTATTTGCTTACACACATTTCCTCTTTGCTAATGACATCCCATTCAGTGGAGATACTGACATAAGGGTCTGTATTTACTTCTATGCAACTTGGTCTGTGCTATTTGGTTAAAGATGCTAAAATCTACAATAGTGTTTTATGTCTTTTATAATACACCAGAATATCATGCTGCTATAGTTAAAATACGGCAAATGATATTACCTGCCAGGGGTAGACATTTCCTTCCACATTCCTGGGAGGTTGAATTTGTACTTGACTAAAGATCATTTCATGGAGACTGTGAGCCACAGCATACACAGAATTATATATATTATAACTCTCTTCAGTCATGCCCATTTTCCAATTTTTCATAGGCAACTGCTCCAAGGAAGCATTGGGTAGACAGATACCCAGAATTTTACAATCATGTTGAGAAAAAGAACAATTGAAGTGTCTGTGCCACAAAATAGCAAGGAAATTGTCTTCTGGGTATTTGAAAGGATTAATTGTCTGCAAGAAATTTTTAAAACCAGTAATCTTTGAAAGGTGGTGGGAAAAAATGAGACCTGAATGGAATGAGTCAACCAGGAACTCATGTGAATGAACATACGAAGAAGTATGTAATCGTGACTTCAAGACCCAGACTTTCATTGTCAGTAAATCATGTGATAAAATCACTATTAAAAATTTTAGGGAATCATAGTCACCATAAATGATAATCACATTTGTCAATGATTCTAGAATCTGCACTCGAGTTTTCACGATAAAATTAAGAGTGGGAAAGTTCGTGTCTGGAATCATTTTTGCAAAAGCTATGCACACTTTATTTCTATCCATTTCTCTTCTCAAATCAGAAAGAATCTGAGATGCTTTGTGGTCCTCTACGAGGAGCAACCCCACCCAGGTCCAGCTAAAATGAACCATCATCAGAGCAATGCCAAATGGAAGAGATGTGTCTGGGGAAGCTATTTGATAGAGAGAAGAAAACTTGCCTCTGTCACTCAGGATGGTGTCAAATGATCCAAATGTAAGCTGAAAGGAAAATCAAATTGTAAGCAGAAGGAAGCACATAAGCATAAAAGCACTCTTGTTTCCGTACAAACAGCTGGAAATAATAGGGACAATGGTTTGCTCATCCTGTTGTGAAGTCTTCTGTCACTTACTGAGAGTTTTACAGACAACTGCTGACAATGCTGAATTTCAAAAATTCCTATATCAACTCCAGCCTCTTCCTCTTCACCCTAAGCAAAGTATTTGAGGTTGTATCACCAAATGCTTGACTCTTCCATTTGAAAGAAGAGTGACTCAAACCTCTCTCATTTACATGTGTACACACCTGGTTTCTTACTCCCTCACAGCCCCTCCCTCACCTGTGGGAATTTGTAGAGATCCAGAAGTCTCCCAAAATGTGTGGATGTTGCTGATGATGGTCCTGTAAGCACAGCAGTTACCTTGCTCTTCCTTCTACAGGTGTAATTAGGAATGATTTGTCTCTGTCCTGTGAGCCAAATAAAAGCATCCTGCAGGATATTCCATTCATTGTTTAGAGCATTATAGAGATCAAATCCTAGAGATATGTTGGGTAAAAGATGTGGGTTGTTGTTGATCTCCTCAGTGGCAAATAACAAGGCCAAAACAAACAGATAGTTATTTTCCAGAAATCTGCACAAATGGAACACCAACATTTTATAGTGCAGTCATACCACAATACTTGCAATTTTAATACAATGCCTTTTTGGAGGGGGGGCTCCACCAACTAATATTTTAACAATTTTAAGTGAGTATTTGGAATCACAATTGGCATGGTATCTAGATAGTCTAAAGTAAAATCCTTAACTTGAGAGAGTCATTAAATTGGCAAAACAGTGTTCTGTTTATCTGACTTTCATGTGAGGGTACACTAAAAAATACTCCCTGTGAATCATACACAGACCCTAAAAAAAATACAACAAAAAAGATGTTCATTTGTTTTTGAGGTGAGGGGTCTCTTTACACAGGTCTAGCTGTTTTGGAACTCACTGGGTAGAATAGGCTGGCTTCAAATTCACAAAGAACCACCTGCCTCTACCTCTCCAATGCTGGGATTAGAGGCATACTGCACCACACACAGCTGGAAAACAGACCTTTATGAGCACACCTATTTTGCTAATACAAAGTCCCTTTTTTGTTTGTTTGTTTGTTTAAATGTTTCAGATGGCATATCTACATGTAGTTATGGTTTGTTTGGAACTCACTAAATATCTACATGTAGTTATGGTTTGTTTGGAACTCACTAAAAAAAACTCACTGGGAAACCAAGCTAATCCCAGTGCCTCTGCCTCCTGAGTGCTTGAATTAAATTATGTGTCCACCATGCCTGGCCCAAGGCAACATTTTGTACAGTATCCAGGTAAACTGAACTCTTTATGACAAGAGCTAAAAAATTATTTTTAGGAAATTTTAATTAAAACATTTTAGCACTTTCCACCTTCTCTTTATTTCCTCCAGTCCATCCTGAGTCCCCACCCTCCATCTCCTTCCATGTCCATTCTCAATCAGATTGATAGCCTCTTCTTCAATATTACCATTACATATATGTACATTTGTATATGTATGCACAGATATGTAAATGCAACCTACCGAATCGTGTGTGTGTGTGTGTGTGTGTGTGTGTGGTTTCAGGGCTGACCACTTTGCATTGAACAATCAATTATAAAACTAATTCTCCTTCTGTCAACACTCATCAGTTGCCTATAATTCCTTACCTAGGTGTGTGACCTTGTGATATTTTCCCCGATTTCCTTGTTAACATGTCTAATGACAGTGCCATTATCCAGACCTTGTTAATACAACCATTCTTTAAGAAACTGTTTTTGCAGTGGACTTCCTGGTATTTTGACTTTTATGACCATTCCATCCCCTCCTCCATGATATCCCCCAAGATGTAGATACAGGAGCTTGATATGTTCCCTGTGATCCATTGGTCCCTGAAATGTGTCCAATTGTATTTCTCTGTTAGGGTCTCCAATTGCTACGAAAAACTTTGATGAAGTGTGATTGTTGCACTTATGTGTGGTTATAAGATTTAGAACATGGTTAAGAATTATGCAGGTTTAAAATAGTGCTGACATAACTGGATTCTGGTGTATAGATTCTGGTGTATGTCTCTCACCATGCACAAAACTCAAGTCCAAATGAACCTCTTAGAAGAAAGTCCACACTGAACCTCCTAGAAGAAAAAGTGGGAGGTGCCCTTGAACAAATTGAAACAGGAGACCACTTCCTGAACCAGCAGCATGGACACTGAGATTGACAATTAATAAATGGAACCTCCTGAAACTGAGAAGCTTCTGTAAGGTGAAGGACACAATCAACAAGACGAAACGGCAGCCCACAGACTGGGAAAGGATCTTTATCAAACCCACATCTGACAGAGGGCTGATCTCCAAAATATACTAAGAACTCAAGAAGCTAGTCTCAAAAGCATCAAATAGTCCAATTAAAATTGAGGTACAGAACTAAATAGAGAATTCTCAATAGAGGAATCCAAAATGGCTGAAAGACACTTAAGAAAGTGCTCAACATCCTTAGCTATCAGGGAAATGCAAATAAAAACAACTCTGAGATACCATCTTATTCCTGTCAGAATGGTTAAAAATCAAAAATACCAATGACAGTTTATGCTGAAGAGGATGTGGAGAAAAGGGAGTGCTAACTTGTACATCCATTTTGGAGATCAGTATGGTGGTTCCTCAGGAAAATGGGATTCAGTTTACCTCAAGATCCAGCAATAACACTCTTAGGCATATACCCAAAAGATGCACATCCATGCAACAAAGAAATCTGTTCATCTATGTTCATAGCAGCATTATTTCTAATAGCCAGAACCTCAAAGCAACCTAGATGCCCCTCAACTGAGGATGGATAAAGAAAATGTGGCATTTATACAATGGAGTACTGCTCAGTGGGGAGGGGAAGCAATGGAATCTTGAAATCCACAGGCAAATGGATGGAACTAGAAGAAACCATCCTGAGTGAGGTAACTCCATCACAAAAAGACAAACATGGTCTGTATTCACTTATATGTAGGTTTTAGACATAGAGCAAAGGACCATCAGCCTACAATTCATGCCACCAGAGAAGCTAGCAAACAAGGATAACCCTAAGAGAGACATACATGGTGCCATGGAGAAGAGGAAATGGACAAGATCTCCTAAACAAATTGGGAGCAGGGAAGGGGGCAGTGAGTGGAGAGGGAGTTAGGAGAAAGAGAAGGGGAAAGAGCAGGGGAGAGGAGAACATGAGGAGGAGGAAGATTTAGTCAGGGGAAGAATAGAGAAGAGCAAGAAAATAGATACCATAGTAGAGGGAGCCATTATACGTTTAAAGAGAAATATCACACTAGGGAAATGTCCAGAGACCTATGAGGATGACCACAAACTAACAATCTAAGCAATAGTGGAGTAGCTACCTTAAGTGCTACCTTAAGATTGATGACTACCTTATATGCCCTCCTAGAGCTTTCATCCAGTAGCTGATGGAAACAGAAGCAGACACCCACAGCTAAACACTGAGCCTAACTTCTGGAATCCAGTTGCAGAGAAGGAGAAGTGATGAGCAAAGAGGTCAAGAATAGGCTGGAGAAACCCACAGAAACAGCTGACCTGAACAAAGGGAAGCTCATGGACCCCAGGCTGATAGCTGAGAAAGCAGCATTGGACTGACTCAGACACTCTGAACATGGGTCTCAGTTAGAAGACCAAGGTAGTCTAAGGGACCTCTGACAGTAGAACCAGGATATATCCCTGGTGCACGAAAAGACTTCAGGAACACATTCCCCATGAAAGGATACTCCCTTAGCCTAGAGACAGGAGGGAGCTGGGGGTGGGGGTCAGGGGTCATGGAAGGGTGGGGGGAGAGAGAACTGGGATTGATATGTAAAATAAGAAAAAATATTTAAATTTAAAAAAAGAATTATGTGGGTTTAGCAAAAGGTCAATAGTATTCTTGACCTGCACGAGCAAGTCATTCTTCAGTGACATATTCCTGAGGGAGAGGACCATGGGAAATCTCTGGTCAGGTGGTCTTACACACGCTGTGTGTTATTCCAAGAAAGTTTATTAAGAAGTACACCATCTTATATACAGTTTGCAGGGAGGAAATGGGACAGAGTCATCAGGAAGCAATCATACAATGGAACAACGTATATAAGAAGCTAATCAAGAAATGTTGTACAAAGGGAACATAGGATATTTCAAGTGCCTCATAGATAAGGCATTCAGTGGCCTTCAGACTGTTAACCACAGCCCTCAAAGAGGACTGCTAGGTGTCCAGTTCCCAGAATCTGAAATCAAAGCCCCTCCTAATACCTAACCTTGGAAATCACTGGTCTTGCCAAGCATATTCATGATTTTTTCAAAGAACTACATTCCTTCTCCATTCAGCAGGGTCTCAGGGAATGGCCTCATAGATCCCCATCAGACCCTCTTCTAAGACCTAGTACCTCACTAGCCTGAGAAGTTGGCTACATTTCTAAAACAAGGCATTATTTCCCACCTGTTGGGTGGCTTTTAAGTTTTAGACAGCTATTAGCTAACAACTCATATGTGAGCATGATTTCTTGCACCTTTAGGAATACTGTGTATGCTAATCATTGCACCTACCAGCTAGGTAGAACTGTTCACTGTTTCAATCCTCTGGCAGCTTGCATAGTATTGTCTGCTACCAAGGAAGCTAGACCACAGGAAGGAGGTTTTCAGATTAGACCTGGCTTTCAAAATCAGATTTCTGTGTCCTTGGGTGGTATCTTTGCAATAGGCGTTTAACTTCAATCTCTGAGAAGAAAACATGTGCAGCACCCATAGTCTATACATTTCTGGAGTCACTTAGACTACCCTGACCAACTACTGAAAATGAGATTTCTTGTTCCTGGTACTGGGATTTTTGTTATAGTCTATGGCTTTTGTGGAAAGCATTGTCAGACCAAGTGGAATGCACTAACATGTACTGCATATAATTTTAGGCAAATATACAACAATAAAGTTCCTTGAGGCTTTTGCAAATAACCTTGGTGCTATTTGCTTACACACACACACACACACACACACACACACACACACACACACACACTTGCCCTTGTACTTGAATTCCCAACATCCTCCCCAGTTGGAGCATCACCTACACATTTTTTCCATTTCCAACCACATATCACCCTCATCCTGCTACTCTCCTCTCAAGCCTGTTCATGGGTCCTTTATACCCACCTAGTTCTTGCAGTAAGCCATGTTGTAGGGTCTCATCTGAAGATTTGGAGTAAAGATGTTCCAATGAAAGAGAAGATGAGATTATTGGCTTTCTGTGCCTGGGATATCTCATTCAATAGAATATTTTCTAGGAGCATCATTTAACTGTATATCTTACAGTTTAATATTTATTTATGACTGAATAGTTTTCTCCTGCATATGTGTACCACATTTTCATTATCCATTTATCTAATGAACATTTATGATGTTGCAATTTACTACATATTGTAAATGTGGTCACAATTATAGTGGCTGAGCATAAATGTATGGGGTAGGACATTGATTCCTTTGAGTATATGCTGAGGAATAGTAGAATTGGGTCATGCTGTAGATTTAATTTTAGACTTTTTATGGCTCTCCACAGAGTTCCAGACTTGCTGAACCAATCTGAATTTCCACTAATAGTGAGTTTTCCCTTTCCTCCAGTCTTAGTTAAGTTTCTAATGTTGTGGTAAAACTTAGTGATCAAAAAGAAATTTGGGAGCCAAGGTTTGTTTCCTCTAACAGCTTGTAGTCCAGGAAGTCGGGCAAGGAACTCAAGGCAAGAGCCTGTAGGCAGGAACCAACCAGAGTCCATGAAGAAATATTGCTTACTACCTGGCTCTTGATGTATTAGTCAACCTATTGTTTATATACCCCAGGACCACTGGAACAGATATGGCATCATCCACAGTGGTCAAGAACTTCCTCATCAACAGGATACACCACAGACTTGCCAAGAGATAAACCTGTGGAGGTATTGTCTCAATTAAGTTCTCTTCTTCCCAGACACACCTGTTTATGTAAAGTGGTCAAAAATATAACCAGCAAACCCCACAACTGTACCAGTATTTGTTATCAGATGTTTGCTGATTTTATCAATTCTCATCCAAATAAGATGAAACCTCAGAGCTCTTGTAATTTACATTTCCCCAATTGCTAAGGATGATGAACACTTTTGATGTATTTTATAATTATTTTTTATTGCTTGTATTAAAAACTCTGCCTTGAACCTTATACAGTTGTATAGTTGGGTCACATGTTTGCTTAACTTTTGTTTTATTTTTTCTAGGTATTGATTCTTTTTCTGATGTATAGCTGTAAATGTTGTCTCCAATTCCCTGGCTTTCTTCTTTGTCCAGTTGTTTCTTTTCTTTACATCAGTCTTTTACTTTAATGAGCTTCAGTTGTCAACTGTAAGCCTTAATTCCTGGGGAAATTGAGTCACATTTATTAAGATTTTTTTCATATACCTAAAACTTATAGAGAATTGCCTAAATTTTAGTCCAGGAGTTATAATATTTCTGGTTTCAAACTAGGGACTTTGATCCACTTGGATCATTTTCCTATGTGTGGACATCAGTTTTGCCAGCAGCATTTGTTGAAAAGACATCATGCTATCTTTAATCTAGAAGATGTCTTTTGCCTCCATTCAAATATCGGTAGTTACACTTACACATACTCAACCTTGGATCTTCTGTTTTGTTTCATCAGTTTACATCTACTGATGAAACTTTTTGTGCCAGGATGATATTGTTTAGTTTCTATA